AACCGGCCGACTGTCAACAACGTCTGACCCAAAATCCTCACAGCGATAGCCCGTTCGCAGAGCTCTCTATAACGAGAGTGTAACGAAGGTGTCACGTGCTGGGAAGGAGCTTGCGTCTGAATTTGGCCATGACGTCTCATAGACTAGGGTAAGAGTAGCTTCCCTTTGACAAAAGGCAGTTACTCTAGCCGTCAGACCGATTGATTGCCGTGAAAGGCTAGTAAAAACAATTTGTATAGGCAATTGTTGTTTTGCGTATATGTAGTTTCGCCACTGTATAAGAAACAGGTTTCAGTTGGAACTATATTTGCTACTGTCACTGTCTGATTCACACATCACTTACCCTGTGACGTAATATATATATTAATGTGCTTATTCCAGGAAAACTTGCAATGTTTCGGTAATGTTTGTGGGCGACGGAAAGCGATTTTCAAGCACAGAATTGAAGAATGACTTTATATGATAAAGAGGTTATCACGCTTGTGTATTCTGGAATGGTAAATATCCTGTGTTAGGAATAAACACTATGTATTTAGCTCACCAAGACTGGCTAAACACAATAATACAGGATATTTACCATCCCCAAACACACTCGCGTGATACCTTTATTTATCTGCCTATTTAAACATTATAGGACCGTCTTTGCCAAGATCAGCATCATGCTATTGAAGTATCTTCCAAATGTTAGTTATATGGACAATTCAAATCAATGCTTCACGAGGAAATGTACCTTTCTACTGACATTCCAGTATATCTTAAATATGTTAAATGTAGGTCTGGACGTAATAATTGTAGTTTGGCTGTGGAAAAAGGAAGACACTATAATACTCCCCTTGCTGATAGGCTATGCTTGTGTGGTCATTCACTTAACATATGTGGAGGACGAGTTCCATGTTATACCTGTCTGTAAATGCTAGGAATTGCTATGGCAAGAACGTCTTGCATCACATATTACATCAAACCGTTCACCAGAAGCTTTTATTAGATTAATGGCTTGTGAAGACCCAAATATGCTACTTTGCCTATTTGTGTAACTAACATTCTATTGACCTCATGTATTATAAATTTAATACTGTATTACTGTGAACAGTATTGCTAAACTTCTGAAACATACTGTTCCAGCAGCTAGTGTACAGTAGAGTACAAAATGGTCTGTAAATCTTATAAACCTGTACCGCTAAAATGTGTTCCATCTATATTACATCAAACCATTCTCAAGGCAGCCATTACATGTGTTAAGTGGATAGTAAGAAATTCATCACTACTTTTGTAACTACCGTTCTGTTGATCCTCTGTATTATTGATTTAATACTGTATTAATGCGAACAGTATCTCCCTTAAATTGTTTGATAGGCATTACTTAAAAATTAACGGATGACAAGATAGGCACAATTTTATGGATAACAACTTCTTTAATACTGTGAAAAGTGACGTTTCGGTATAGATCCTTATACCTTTGTCAAGCAAGACTCATGCTTATACTGTTGTCAAGCAAGACTCAAGTCTTGCTTGACAATGGTATAAGGATCTATACCGAAACGTCACTTTTCACAGTATTAAAGAAGTTGTTATCCATAAAATTGTGTCTATCTAGCATCTCCCTTTTTGCTTATTCTATGTCTGCCAGCATTACAGCGAAAAAAAACTTATCTCATTATCACATTTGCTGCTGGCGAAACTCGTCACCCATCTCTGCTGCTGGCAACTCCAGTCACCCATTGACTACCTCTGCTTAACTACCCACAAGTCCTTCCTCACGTAGACCTTTACCCAAACACTGATCCTTCACTAATGTTATTGTCCTGTCTGGTCAACATGTTGTCCTTTCAGACCAGTTCAAGGAGGGCATGCTCCAATAATACTAAATCAATTTGATTTGATGTGTTTGTATTGTTTGTTTGTTGTTTAACGCTACACTCAGCAATATTCCAGCTATATGACGGCGGTCTGTAAATAATTGAGTCTGGACCAGACAATCCAGTGATTGACATCATGAGCATTGATCCACGCAATTGGGATACTTTGACATGCATCAACCAAGTCAGCAAACCTGACCACCCGATCCCGTTAGTTGCTTCTGTGTTTGTACTTAATCTGTGCATGCATAATGATTTACATATGCATGAGTTCTGAGCAGTCATCCGTAACAACATGTAATTAAATATGGCAGTAGACATATCTACATTAAATGCTTTTAGGGTTACCATGGTTACATGTTCATGAGATGTCAGTATGATTTGTTGTTTGTTCGAACAAATCTCTGTTATTTAGAAGATCTACTACTATTTTTTTGAGAATGTCACAGAATGTTGTATAAATATGGATCAATTAATTAACACCTGAGGTGACACATAGATATAGCAATATATAGTAAGTGAGTGAGTGTGGTTTTATGCCGCTTTTAGCATATTCCATCAATATCATGTCGAGGGACACCAGAAATGGGCTTCACACATTGTACCAATGTGGGGAATCGAACCCTGGACTTCGGTGTGACGAGCGAACGCTTTAACCACTAGGCTACCCAAACGCCCCCAATTGCATATGAAACAGCAAGGACACATTTTATAGATGAAAAAAATAATATGGACGGATCTAGATATTTTATTTTAAACAATATGACTGGTAAATCTACGTATACTAAAGAAACTGTGCACGGGGAAAATATAGATATAAGAGCACACCGTCCACATATGAAATAGAGGTTTGAACACAGCAATTATTGGAGACATTCAAACGCTCATGCACGTGCCATGCGATATGACGTCATTGATGGGGCCTATGGACGTGCAATGTGTTACTCCACGTGCATCCTGTGCAGCTGTACACAGCATGTGCAACTCCAAATTCGCTGTCACTTTGGAAAGCATGATCTGTGGTCATTTAAAAATTCAAAACTTCTCAGGCGCAGACACAAGCATATCACAAGCAAATCATGCCAAGATTGACAGCTGCACAGCGTCATGAAGCCATTGGAATGATCCGAGCTGGAATGAGGCAACAACAGGTGGCAACACATTTCCTATGCCATCGTAACACGATATCGGCATTGGTGAGGCGTTATCAGAACACAAATGACGTTGCCGACCACCCACGTTCAGGACGTCCCCGAGTAACGACGCCAAGACAGGACAGATGGATTCGAGTTACACATCTCCGACACAGGTTCCAAACGGCAGTAACGACGTCCCAGACAATTCCTGGACTGTGCCGTATCCATCCCAACACTGTCAGGAATCGTTTACGTCAGTACGGGATTCGACCACGACGCCCTGCCATACGCCCATCCTGACACACCGTCATCGCGTCAACCGTCTAAGATGGTGTCGAAATCATGTTCGCCAACCTCGAAAATGGTGGAGAAATGTTGTCTTTACAGATGAATCGAGGTTCAACATTTCCCACAGTGACGGGCGCCAACGTGTCTACCGGCGTTTCAGAGAACGTTATGCACGCAACTGTATTGTGGAGAGGAATCGTTTTGGAGGTGGCTCTGTGATGATTTGGGGTGGGATAACAGCATGGCACCGAACCCCTTTGGTGGTTGTTCAGGGCAATCTCACCGGTGTTGGCCACAGAGATCAGTTTCTGAGGCCTGTGGTCATTCCTTTCCTGCAACGTCATGGACCAGGATAGACATTTCAACAGGACAATGCTCGTCCTCACACGGCTAGGGTCGCAATGGATTTCCTTCACCATAACAATGTCATGTTACTGCCATGGCCTGCAAATTCTCCAGATCTCTCCCCAATAGAGCATGTGTGGGATGAAATGGAGCGCCGTCTGCGTCGTCTTCCACATCCTCCAGATAACGTCAGTGACTTGGCACATGATTTGAGGAGGATATGGCAGGCCATTCCCCAGGCCTTCCATGCCCATTTGGTGGACTCGTCGCCGATGCACTGCTGTGATTCACGCACAGGGTGGTCATACCCGTTATTGACTTTATGACTTTGTCGTTTGACCCCCTATTCCATTTTGATCTTCTGACGTCATCGTAACAGATGTTGTTCAGGTCCTGTTGACATTTTCTTATGGTCCGATCATTCAGCTGCTACAGCGTCTGCATCATTTTGTTCTTGCTGTGTTGTATTTCAATCCAGAATATATTTTCTCCGTGCACAGTTTCTTTATGTGGCTAGTATATATTTACTTGCAATTGAATAACCTGCTGGTAACTGTGCTTAATCAAAACAGCCTCATGTCAGAACGGCCACAAAAAAGTCAAAATGGCAACAAACCCATAAATGTCTAGTCAAAACGGATACACACACAAAATTAAAAGTTCATTGTCATTGTAATACCTATAAAACATGCAGGATTGTGTAGTTGCAACCAACACTGTTACAATGCCTAACATTTATAAGTACAGATTTCATAATTGAAATAACCCCTATATGCTTAATTTTAAGTAATATATCATGCGGCACATTCTCAATATTTTTTTTCATATCATAGGTCAGTTATCACTAGATCTATACTTGAGATTGTCTTCTTTATTGTATGTGTGGTCGTTATACATTTTTGTTGTGGCCGTTTTGTCTTTACCTTTAGAGGCCAAAATCATTTGAAACAGCATCATCATTATCCTCGACAGAATGCCTCGTTGATTTTAATTGCGTTTTTCTCCCTACTCCGTGAGGCTAAATATAACCTTCCATCATGTCGACTAGTTCGTGTTTTAGTTTCAGACAAAACAAGTGTTGCTCTTCTAAACTAGCAGTCACTACAAAACAATTTTGCTCATTTAAGGTATTAGGCAGTAAACGACCGTTTTAAAAGAAGGTGAAACAGAAGCGATGAACTTTCTCGACGGATCCCACAATACTCATGTCATGTCAAAACGAGAGTTATCACCCTTTGGAAAACATCCGCATTGCTCCATGCTCCTTGCGTTGTATACGGTTATATGGATACTGCAGTACTGCCCAACTTGTGTATTATATACTGTAGCTTGCAAACATCGCTATCATAAGTTTCAAAGGTATGAGTAAACTCACCGTCTTCGATGTCTTCAGCGTGTTTACAATACCGGCAATGTACACCTCACAGGCGCATGTGTTGGAACAGGCTGAAACGGCATCAGAGCAAAACGGAACTATTTTCGATTGGAGATAGCGGAACAAAATTTTCTGGCTATGACAACACCAGTGCTTGGCTATAACAGCACCAGTGTTTGGCTGAAGCGACACCATATTTTTTCATAAGTAAATATGGAAGTGTAACGAAGGAATTGTGTATTTAAGATTTATTAATATGACATTCTCCTTAAAAAGGGGTGCAGGCTAAACGGCACCTCAGCAAAACGTCATCGATTTCTCTGGCGAAAACGACACTGCATTTGGCGAAAACGGCTACTATGTGTGGGGCGAAAACGGCTACTATGTGTGGGGCGAAAACGGCTACTATGTGGGGCGAAAACGGCTACTATGTGTGGGGCGGAAACAGCTACTATATGTGTCGGGCGAAAACGGCTACTATGTGGGGCGAAAACGGCTACTATATGGGGCGAAAACGGCTACTATGTGTCGGGCGAAAACAGCAACTATGTGTCGGGCGAAAACAGCTACTATGTGTGGGGCGGAAACAGCTACTATGTGTCGGGCGAAAACGGCTACTATGTGGGGCGAAAACGGCTACTATGTGGGGCGAAAACGGCTACTATATGTCGGGCGAAAACAGCTACTATGTGTCGGGCGAAAACGGCACCTCTATTTTTAATAACGATAAGAACGATTTTTGTAGTAGTATATCTGATTTATTTACATCGTACTTGATGTATTTACATGTCATTTGATGTATTTGATGTATTTACATGGTACATGGTAATTGCCGGTCAGTAGCAAGCATGATATGCCTCTCGTCAATTACTTTACTGTAACAATAAACTATTCAACATGTAATTGACAGCTTATTGTAAATTACCGAGAACAATTACACCAATCAGTTATAACAACAATATTAATACCTCAACTCTATAACGGGCCACAGAAAGTCCGGTTCCACCTACACGATGGTCACAGTTATCACAGGATACAGCATGTTGATTTGTTCTGACATTCTGGAGTATGGGGCTAATTTATTACTTGTTTTATTTCACAATTATTTGTGTTTGTAAAAGACTATGTGAGTTTAATTTCTATTATTTTTCTTCAAAACATGTTATGTTTTCACAATAAGTTGAGTTGCGTACAAGCTAAGTTGGATTATAGTTGGAGTAGAGGCTAATTTCTAATGTAAACTTGTCTTAACATCTCACAATAATTGGAGTTTGCAAGTTACAATGTAAGTTTAATATCATATATTTGAATTTGGGATGCGATGACATGCATCAACCAAGTCAGCAAGCCTGACCATTCGCTCGTCACGCCGAAGATCCGGGTTCGATTCCCGACATGGGTACAATGTGTGAAGACCATTTCTGGTGTCCCCCGCCGTGATATTGCTGGAATATTGTTAAAAGCGGCATAAAACCATACTCGCTCACTCCTGATAGGTTTATTGACAAACTAAATCTGTTTTACGCGTACTTTCTTTAGTCTAAACGATGTAGGTGGTGAAGACGTTGAAAGAATCACACATAAAATATTTTTTCACGAAGGGTTGAAATAACATAAGATCAAACCAGAGATCATATTAAAATATTCATTATGTATACATATTAACTGAATATGAAAACTTAAATTTTGCCGTATTAATGTACTTTAAATTTTACCGTATTTATGGTTTCAACGGTTATAAAAATAATTATTCTCAATTCTCAAGTACATTTTGTGTTGAAGATAATATGAAAATGTAACTTAAAGCATCACAACAATCATTATCATGACAGTCATTAATATTACTTCAATAATTACCATCATGTAAATCATTATTACTAAACTATCTAAATTCTTGTGTAAATTCCCTGCCTTGCCAAGGTAAAAAAAATATAAGGTGTCGTTTTCGCTTGAGTCGAGGTGTCGTTATCGCTTGAGTCGATCTGCCGTTTTCGCCAATCGGTGCCGTTTTCTCCCAGTGACGTTAAAAAGCACTCGAGCTTCATTCCATCAATATGACATGCACCAACAGAATCCAGCAACTAATACATTACACACATGCGTACATATATTTACAAGGACACGCTTTACAAGAGGTCCTGTCAGCTGGGACGAATGGCAGTTATCTTTCTTTAACTTGTGTGTTTTAGCCTCCTTGAAGGCAGCCTGACTGTATGACCACCCCCTGCTACAAGACACGAAAAACTCTCCAGCGTCAGTCGTGTGATGACGTCACATGGGATATGTCGCCATTCTTCTCGGGGGACTTCGATCAGTTCTTGTCGGTCGGCTGAAGGATGTGGTCGCTGTCGAACACGATGATCCATGACATCCAAGGTGTTCTCTGGGTGACATGTCTGGGGAGCATGCAGGCCACGACCAAAGTTGACGTTGGCTGCAAGGAGGCTGTGTACGATTCGGACTGTATGGGTGGTAAAGCACACCACGTGGCGGGTGTTGTAGAAATGTTGTAGAAATTGTAGGGCAATCGGACGACGAATGTCATCCATAAACGCTGAGCTGTCAAATGTCTGTAAACGATGACCAGTGTTCTCTCCGGCCAACAAATTCCTCCCCACACCATAACACCCCATCCACCATACGACACGACCTTCCTGACCACAACATGCGGCCGTTCATTCTCCCCTTCGGCGGTAAACACGCGGTCTTCCATCATCTCTGAACAGACCGAAACGTCTTTCATCAGTGAGGACGACCCTCTGCCACTCACGTCGCTGCCAACGGCGTACAGTCCGGGCCAATCTCAATCTTGAGCCTTTATGTCGACTAACCCTATATCCTAAGACATTCGTCGCTGATGACGTCACTGTCAGGAATCAGTTCCGGAGATGCAAAGTATGCAAGTATCGGCCTTCATTGGGCGTAGTTACCCTGGGTCTGCCTGTTCTTGGTCTGTCTGATGTCTGTCCGGTCTGTCTGTAACGCTGCATCAGGTTAGTTACAGCAACACCGGAGCAACCCAAATTCTAGCAATGTGGTCATGGGTGGCTCCAATCTATATTATTATACTGAGGGCCCACTCGCGTTGTTCGGGTGTCAGTCGTGGTATTTCTGTGGGTTTTTTTTTTATCAGAGGAAATGTTTGAAATGGCCCTCCGTCCGTATTATGTATATAACATTATTGCACGTGTACTTTCGGCTGCCCAAGCGGCACATGCTGTTCACTTTTTCGCATTTTCTACTGTTAAAAAAACGTCTGCAAAGAGCATTGTTGTGTTTCGCATTGATTTAATTTGAACTTGTGTTATTAAATGTTTGTAATTTCATCTTTAACGTGGTAACATTTCTTTTAGATGTAAGTTTATATATAAAGTAATAATAAACATTAATAAGCCCATCATATGTAACTATACCATCAGTAGTCTCGGAAAAGGTCGAAAATAATCTCAGAATCCGCCATGATTTTGTTGTACCATGTGCACGGACTATAACGTTTAAAAAGTCTTATGTTAAAGATACATTAGGCCAATGAAATAATCTACCATCGAACGTAGGGAATAGGTTCTCAAGATCAGTATCACAACCAAAATACTATAATTGCGGTAAGAAATCTACTTACATTTTGCACCCGAGATTACGACACAAATATAACACACTATAACGGTTCCTGAATATGTTTTCACAACTGTCCAACACGAATTGCCAAATGTAAAACAAATACAAAGATGATGTAGGCAAAGAGACCAAGAGCTCGATTGTTTGCGATATTTAGAAATAATTTGTGTCTGAAATGATTGTGAAAACAAATGCCTCACGTCATAAACAAATAATTATACAATTTGTTCACTGGATCTCATGAAGAGAAATGTGCTGTGGGTCGAACATTGTTTTTTTTTAACAATGGTGTATGTATTGAATGAATGACTAAAGAAAATCATGCTTCTTTCAAATTCCTATGTTTTCAGTATGTAGCTATTCGTCACCAGCAGATTACACCACCTGCATTTAATGCGGAAAAGAGCGTGCAACATTTTGTTGTAGAAATGTGTTGGATGAATAACTTATTCAATAATCAATAAATGTGGAAAAAATGTTATCAGCCCTAAAAGCCATTTACTCTTCTGTTAAATCTTCTGTTAGACAAACCTCACATACCGATTTCTTTGACTGGTGCACGCTAAGGTTGCATACTAAGCCCTTTGCTATTTTTCTCTATTTACAGGAGAACTATCAAAAGTTATACATGAACATGGTAAACATGGCATACAATTATTTCCATATATTTATGAAATTTTGTTACTGTTATTTGCAGATGACGTCATCCTTGTCTCAAAATATGTTGCGGGTTTACAGACCCAGCTTAACATCCTTAGTTTTTTTCCGATACATGGGCATTAACTGTTAACATACAAAAATCAAACATAGTTGTTTTTAGAAGGGGAGGCAGCCTATCTTCCAAGGACAAATGTACATACAAAGACACCCCCCTTCCCATAGTTAACAGTTATAAGTACTTTGGTGTAATATTTTCTTGAACTTTCAAGATGACAAAGTGTATTGCTGATCTAGCAAATCGTGGAAAACGGGCTTTGATGGAAATAAATATAAATTTGAATAAAATAGGAATGATTGATCCAAAAGTATATTTTATAATATTTGATACTCAGGTATTACCAATACTTTTATTTTGGTCAGAAGTATGGGGTAATAGCGGTATGACCAAGTGGAACGAGTTCAACTTTTGGCATGTTAATTGTTTTAAAGGTGGGAATACAAACACCAAATGCCATTGTCTATCATGAATGTTGTCGCTACCCGCTTTATGTCAATACGCAGGTCCGTATTATAAAGTACAGTGTATTGGTTAAATTAACCAGGATGCACGAAGGGCGTATCCCAAGAAAAGTGGGGCGGTCGGGTAGCCTAGTGGTTAAAGCGTTCGCTCGTCACGCCGAAGACCCGGGTTCGATTCCCGACATGGGTACAATGTGTGAAGCCCATTTCTGGTGTCCCCCGCCGTGATATTGCTGGAATATTGCTAAAAGCGGCGTAAAACCATACTCACTCACTCA